TTTCCTTCACAGATGCTGCCAGACCTGCTGAGCTTTTCCAGCAACTTCTGTTTTTGTTGTTGAAGCATTCTTTATCGTCTGCTTTTCGACAAGGCAGAAAAGTCACGAACCATTTTTAACATTGACTCTGATTCTCTCTCCACAGATGATGCCAGACCTGATAAGTTTCTCCAGCAATCTCTGTGTTTGTTTTAGATTTCCAACCTCCACAGCATTCTGCCTTTATTAAACGTTTTTTCAAAATTTGGGCCAGTTTTCCGTTAACTAATGCTAGGCATTTTGGATTGCCTGGGCAGTGATTGAATGGGAAACTCAGGCAGGCTCTTGTCCATTTGTGTAATCTTCCTTGTTACCCCAATTACCCATTCAACCTGCATTCCAATACATCCAGGTGCATTAACAATTAAATCTGCACCTTGCATTGCTCAAGATCAACAGTAGAGTTAAGCAAATGTGTGGCGAATCTGTGGAAGGGAAAGCCAAGGGAAATGATGGGAGAAACTAACATTGATTCACTCAAGTGCAAATTCACTTCGACCGGTATCAAAAGATGAGGATTTAGGATATACTATGTTAATAATTTGAGATTCAATGTGTGGTCATTCTAGCAGGCATGAGAGAAACATTAGCTTGGACCTATGCTTCTGACGATTGAGGATTTTCCTCAGCTCATGTCTGATCACGTTGTAGACTTATTGATGGAGATATATTGCCAAGATTAATCAATAATTCTATTATCACTGTTTTGTGAGACTGTCAGGAGGTGAATTATGGTTCTTGGCTTTTTGTTGTCTAGCAGTTCCTATGCTCCTATATTTAAATAACAGAAATTTTTTTCTTTCTTTATTCATTCATGGGATGAGGGTGTCACTGGCTGGGCAGTATTTATTGTCCATCCCTAATTGCCCAGAGGGCAGTTAAGAGACAACCACATTGCTGTGGATCAGGAGTCACATGTAGGCCATAGTAGGTAAGGATGGCAGCTTCCTTCCCTAAAGGACATTAGTGAACCAGTTGGGTTTTTCCTGACAATTGACAATGGATTCATGGTCATCATTAGACTCTTAATTCCGATATTTATTGAAATCTCATTCCACCATCTGCCATGGTGGAGATTTGAACCCAGGTCCCCAGAGTATTATCTGGTCCCTGGATTAACAGTCCAGTGATAATACCACTAGGCCATCGCCTCCCCTATATTTATGTTCATGACTTCATCAGAAGTACTGAACAGTTTAAATCTTCATGCTCACACTTACAACACCACTGCCCTGCTGCAGCCAAACAAATTCCTATCCCTGAGTCATTTGTATGTATTTCACTGAAGAAATAGAGTTTTTCATTTCCTGGAAGCCTTTGCAATGATTTTTCTTCAACTTTGTTTCAACCTATCAGGGTTTCACGTCATTGATGAAATTTTGGAAACAACTGGGTCCGGTTGTCCTGCTGAATTCCTGAACATTCAGATTCCTTGTGGAGACCCGACTTTTGATCCTAACTGCACCAGGAATGTGCATCTCCCATTCCAGCGTGGTCGTTGGACAACGAGCTCAGGTCAAAGTCCCAACAACCCCCGATTGCAGGTATATTATGTAACAGAGCTATATATTCATTGAACGAACAAATAAGACGTATTTTTAGTTTTTAAATGTATAGGAAACAGATTAAACATGGGAGTTGCATTTCTCCACTTGTTGAGTCCCAATCTTACGTTGAGGGTGTACAGCATGTTGGTGAGACCTCTTCTGGAGTACCGTGTCCAGTTCTGGTCACTCTGTTATAGGAAGAATATTATTAAACTGGAGTGGGTTCAGAAAAGATTTACAGCACATTTCCAGGAATGGAGGGTTTGAGTTATAAAAATATACTAGAAATGTAAAAGAGGGAAGATAAAAATAAATAAAGTGCAACATTTGCTCAAAGCACATTAATTGGGGATGAGAAAGGGCATTTGGCTAACCATTCCATACCCATCTATTTAAGAAAAACTTTCACATTCAACATCCCATTGTACCTTAATTAATTAATAAGACTTTTGCCTCCAATACACATCTTACAGTCATCTTCACTTGTCAATACCCTTTTTAGAAGAATGAATTCTTCAGTCTATCTTGATATTTTTGCTATCTATGATTTTTTTTTTCATAGGATGTGGGTGTTGCTCACTAGGCCAGCATTTACTGCCCATCTTTAATTGCCCTTGAGAAGGTTGTGGTGAGCCACCCTTTTGAATCTCTGCATTCCACGTGCTTTCGGTACACCCACAGGTTGTTAGGGAGCGGGTGCCAGGATTTTGATCCACATCTCCTTCTGTCGTAGTTTACTTTGAAGTCATGTTATGAGTCATCCTTTCTCTGCAATGTTCTGACTTGTTTACCAGTCTGTAAGATCTTGACATAGTCATCCCCTTTCAATGCTAAAGGGACCAGGTTTCATTAATCTTCAGTTATAACTCTGAAGTCTTACACTAACGTTATAGAGATTTATAAAATCATGATGGGCATAGGTAAGGTGAATAGCCAAGGTCTTTTCTCTAGAGTAGGCGAGTCCAAAACTAGAGGGCATAGGTTTAAGGTGAGAGGGAAAGATCTAAAAGGGACCTGAGCAGCAACTCTTTCACACAGAGGGTGGTGCGTATATGGAACGAGCTGCCAGAGGAAGTGGTAGATGTGGGTACAATTACAATACTTAAAAGACATTTGGACAGGTACATGGACAGGAAAGATTGAGATGGAAATGGGTCAAACACAGAGAAATGGGACTAGTTTAATTTGGGAAACCTGTTTGGCATGGATGAGCTGGGCTGAAAGTATGTTTCTGTGTTGTATGACTCTATGGTCGTTACTATCATTTGCATTACCTCTCAGTACATTAATATCTCTCATGTTTGAATTAGTCACCAAAATTAAGCCTTACCAGAGCACTATGCACTAGTATCAGATCTAATTCCTTATGACTAGGTTGCACACAATTCAGCTGTGTCATAATTGATAGCATTCTTTCCTCTAGGTCAGAGGTATTGGGTTCATCTAGAGATTAGAGCGCAAAACCATCTTGATTCTAAAATGTTCTTCCTTGTTTTCAAATCCCTCTCAGGCTTCAGTACTCTCTATATCTACAAACCCCTCCAGCCCTACAACCTATCATTTCTGTCCTCCTCTAATTTGGTCCTCTTGAGTGTCTACAATTTTAAATCATCCCACCATTGATGGTGTGCCTTCAGTTGCCTATGCTCCAAGCTCAGGAATGTACTTCCCCCACCTCTCTATCTTGCTTTGCACATTAAAAACCTACCTTAAAAGCAATATTTTTTGATCAAGTCTTTGGTCTTTTGTCCCAACATTTCATTATGTAGCTCAATGTGATACTTCAATTCATAATGCTCCTGTGAAGCAGCTTGCGGTGTTAATGTTAAAGGCACTATATAAATGTGAGTGGTTGTTATTGTCAATAACTGAAATCTGCCTCATTCCTGACTTATTTCAGGTAAACCATGTCACTACATGGATTGATGGAAGCTCCATCTATGGGTCATCCCATTCTTGGAGTGATGCCCTGCGTACTTTTTCTGATGGGCTTTTGGATTCTTCTCTAGACGGTCTGTTACCAAGGCCAAGTACTGGATTGATTCGTTTGTGGAAGATGGCAGACCCTGTAACCAAACAAACTGGACTTCAGGGACTTTACGGTAACTAGTTTGATTCCTAGGTGTGGCTGATAAAATAACACGGGTTCGTGACTGATATCTATTTGCATTTCCTATTAATTTTACAGAATGTGGTACCAAATGTTACATCAGCTTAATTTTCAGATTATTACACATAGGGGAAGACTGTGGAGCAAAATCATGAGCGGGCTGGATATAGTAAACAATGAGAAACTGTTTCCATTTGTAAAAGGAGCAAGCACAAGAGAGCATAGGCTTAAAATGATTTGCAAAACAAGCAGGAGTGAAACGATGGGAAACGTTTTCACTGAGTGAGTAGTTAGGGAATGGAATACATTGCCTGCAAGTATGGTGGAGGCAAGTTGCATTGAGGCATTCAAAAGGGCATTGGATCGTTATTTGGATAGAAATAACGTGCAATGGTATGTGGAAAAGGAGGAAATTGGCATTAAGTAACAATGCTCATGTAACGAGGCAGTGCAGACACAATAGACCAAATGGTTGTAGTGCAACAATTCCCTAATTCTGTGATGTGGGATGGGGAGAGGTGGGATTGTCAGTCGTGGTGAGACAGAAATTCCAGGACTGTTAAGTGGGAGGTGATGGCCTCATGACGGTATTGCTAGACCATTAATCCAGAGACCCGGGTAAGGATTGTGATACCTGGGTTCAAATCCTGTCATGGCAGATGGTGGAATTTGAATTCAACAAAAATCTGAAAGTAAGCATCTAATGATGACCCTGAATCATTTGCTAATATCAGGAAAAACTCATCTAGTTCACTAATGCCTTTTAAGGAAGGAAACTGCTATCCTTACCTGGTCTGGGCTACATGTGACTCCCACAGCAATGTAGTTGACTCTTAACTGCCCTCTGGGCAATTTGGGATGGGCAATACTAGTCCAGCCAGTGATATGCACCTCCTGCAAATAAATTTTAAAAATAAACAGCTACTGTAAGATCTTCTTCGCCATTGGGAATCAAGTTGCAGAATATATAAGCGTATGAAATCTGGTCAACCTGCGATAGGTAAAGATTTACAAGGATGTTACCAAAACTAGAAGGTTTGAATTATAAGGAGAGGCTGGATGGGCACGGACTTTTCCCTGGAATGTAGGAGGCTGAGGGGTGACCTTATAGAGGTTTATAAAATCATGAGGAGCATAGATAAGGCAAATAGCCAAGGTCTTTTCCCCAGGGTAGGGGAGTCCAAAACTAGAGGGGCATCAGTTCAAGATGAGCAGGAAAAGATGTAAAAGGCAATGTTTTTGTGCAAAGGGCAGTGTGAAAATGGAACGAGCTGTCAGAGAAAGTGGTAAAATTACAACATTAAAAGACATTTGGATAGGTGCATGGATAGGAAAGGCTTAGAGGGGTATGGGCCAAATGCACGCATGGGATTAGTTCAGATTAGGAAACCTAGTCGTCATGGACAAGTTGGGCTGAAGGGCCTGTTTCCGTATTGTATAACTCTATGTAAAAAGAGTCAGCCATTCAGCTGCAAGAGCCTGGTTTAACATTCAATAAGATCATGGCTGGTCTGATTGTATACTCAAATCCACATTCCCACTTACTTCCCGATAACCTTTTACCCTCTTGATTAAGGTACATCTACTTACGTCTGCCTTAAAAATATTCAAGGGCTCTGTTTCCATCACCTTTTCAGGAAGAGAATTCTGGATTGTTTTTGGCCTCATCTGCATTTAAAATGGGTGACCTCTGATTTTCCAACAAGCACTGGATTCTCCCATAAGAGGATACAGCGTCTCCTTATCCACTTTGACAAGAAAGACCGCACCCAGGATCTTTTGTTTTTCAATCAAGTCATCTTTGTCAGATACTTCTTCATAAATACTAAACTTGAGAGGGTGCAGAAAAAATTTACAAGGATGTTGCAAAGGTTGGAGGGTATGAGCTGTAGGGAGAGCTATGGGGCTTTTTGGCTTGAGCGATGGAGGTTAAGTGGCGACCTTTTGGAGGTTTATACAATCATGAGGAGCATGTGAATAGACAAGTCCTTTTTCCCCAGGGTAGGAGTGTCCAAAACTAGAAGACATGGGTTTATGGTGAGAGGGGAATGATATAAGGACCTAAGGGGCAACTTTTTCACGCAGAGGGGGTGCGTGTATGGAATGAGCTGCCAGAGGAAGAGGTGGTGTGTGTATGGAATGACCTGCCAGAGGAAGTGGTGGAGGCTGGTACAATCACAACATTCAAAAGGCATCTGGATGGTTACATGAATATGAAGGGTTTACAGGGATATGGGCCAAATACTGGCAACTGGGGACTAGATTAATTGAGTCAGCATGGACGAGTTGGACCGAAGGGTCTGTTTCAGCATCTGGATATTGGGCTAATAGATGTTACATTCAGGAGCTGTACATCTCTATAACTCTATAAAATGTCAATAAGCTTTTATAAACTGTAAGATGAAATACTCATCGATGATAGGAAAGAAATTAGCAATAAATTTTGCTAAGTCTTCACAATGTTCTCTTTTTGCGTTATTTTCTAAAAGATTTTGGAAATGCGCGAGCAAATGAAAGTCCCTTTCTCCAAGCGGAAAGCATCATCTGGTTGCGATATCACAATTACTGGGCACGCAAGTTTAAAGCTGAGAAGCCCAACTCTTCTGATGAAGAGTTATTCCAGAGAGCTCGGAAGCGTGTCATTGCCATTTTCCAGGTAACTAACAGCTGCAGAAGTGCTGCTCATTTGCATTCTTGTGGCTCATTTAGAATTAGAATTAAGATTAGAATAAGGTTTTATTGTCACATTTACTCAAGTACAGGGATAAATGAATACAGTGAAAAGCATACAAAGTCGCCATTTCCAGTGCCATCTCTGAAGACTCTATAATGCTGTATTCCCTACCACAGATAGGCCCTTGATAAAGCATGGACAAAGGAGAACTGGTGGCAGCATCATAAATCTTTGCTGTGAAGCACATACTTGTAGAGGTAACAGAAACTGTAAGATGCCAGTAATGGCAATCAGAATAGTACCACAACAATCTCTGTACTACATCTTGTGCGTGTGAAATTTTCAATCCTCTAGTGCACAATAGAATATCAACCAAAATAGTTTGGTTGACATTCTGAAAGTAATTAATTTGCCTTGGTGCCTGAGTTAAAGGGATATGTAAAATATTGCTGCAGGGATATTTTTCAGTGGAGTTTTCTGTAGGCCAGTCAATCACCCAGGGGATTATAAATTAATTGAATAAGTCCAGGCAACTGGGTTGTTGTCTGCTGCGTGGAGAACTGTTAAGAAACTGCATTACCTCCTTTGGGGAAGACCTGCTGTATGAAGTCCCAGCCAAGTACTTAAGAAGATAAGAACTAGGAGCAGGAGTGGGAAGTTCAGCCCCTCAAGCCTGCTTCACTTTCCTGCCTACTTTCTACAGCCCTTCAACCCAATATAATAAAAATTAATCTCTCTCCTTAAATTTACTCAGTGTCCCGAGATCCACTACACTCTGGGGTAGTGAATTCCACAGATTCGTGACCTTTAGAGAGAAGCAATTTAAGTAGCCAACAGCAGGCCTAGCCAGGAATCAAGGACACCCCCAGAGTGGAAATCTCACCCACCCATAGTTCCTGGCCAATAGCAAATCATCCATTGCACAAAGCATTACTAATGGCAGGGGCCAGACCACCAGGGGTACAGGATCTGTGAGAGACCAGGTCACAGGTGAGTGGTCACAGGTGGGATGGGGACACTGGGGAGGAAAGCAGTGGCAGAGTGTAGGATGTTGGGTCTCATGGGAACCCTTGATCAGGCACTGAGTGTTTTTGAAGGATGCCTGCCAATCTGGAGCCCATATGCGAACAAGACAGGCATTCATTTCCCATTTAAGGGCCTCATTTGGTATTGCGGGGCAGCCAAGATGCCCATATGCCTTCCTACCCTAATTAAGTCTGGCGTCCGTACCCATCATCTAGCTTCTCGACTAAATGCCACCTCCAAACGTGCCTTGGGGAAGGGCATTGCATTCCATTCAATGTCTTTGGTCCTTGAGACTCTAGGAATATTTGTAGGTTTTAGATGAATAATACAGAGTAAGAGATGTCATTGAGACTAATCTACTTGAGATGGAAGAAAGATGCTATAAGATAACGCAAAACATTCAAATGATAAAAATCAGCAGCACTTTATTGACCTGATTGAACATTTGAATTTCCTATGGCAGATCTACATCATGTTCTCCATTGATCCAATTTTCAGACTTTTCGACTGTGATGATTAGATTATTTTTGGGGCAGTTTAATGTTAAGCGTGATCCATCTCTGTGCAATTAAAAATCATGTCAGCAAACCTAATTTTAGCCTGAAAGGTAAGGTGGCATTTTAATTTTTTTGGAGCAGAAGGAACTATAAGGTCTTTAGCTTCTTCAAACTCTAATGCAAAGTCACTGAATAAGGCGACAATCCACTTTTACAGTAGCTGCTTGTCTCAGAGCAAACAGACTGTGCTGCGGATGTGCTGTTACATTGAAGACCACCTGGGCAACACTGTTTCCTTATCTTTTGTAGAATATTGTATTTTATGAGTGGCTGCCAGCCTTCATTGGACAGAATGGAAGCACCTATGAAGGTCAGTATTGTTTATGGTTGATTGGAGACTCCAATGAATTGGGGCAATTCATTTTATAAAATCTCACACATCTTTAGGATGTAATGATAAACAACTCTACTTTTCCATCTGTGCTTCAGGCTATAAGAAGCAAGTCGATCCTGGTATCTCGCCTGAATTTCAGTCAGCTGCTATCCGAATAATCAACTCCTTGGTTCCACCAGGTGTCTACATGAGGTAGTAAAGAAGAAAATTAGGATCAATTTAATGTTCCTCTGTAATTTTGCAGGTGGTCTAGTGCTTTATCAGAATCTTTAATTTGCTTAAATAATGTAAAAATTATTTAAGGTCAAGTATCAGTTTGATAGTATTAACGTCTGTGATCTCTCCCAATAGTGCAATTGCGTTGATTATGGTTCTTCAGTGGTCTCATACTCTGCTGTAGAATGTAATCACCTAAACGTAGGATGCCATTTCAATGCAGTACAAAAGAGAACAGAATGCGCCAATGAAATGTTAATGACCGATCTGTTTTCTCTTAGTTTGTGACTGTAAAAGATCCCTTGATGTGTTTTGGAGTTTTCTTAGAGTCTTAATCAATGCTGGTTCCTCAACCAACCCGACCAAAACATATTTCGATAGTTTCGGTGTGGTAGCAACATTGTGTCTATGTTTCTTTAATTAACAACAGAAATGAAATTTCAAAAGTAATTGATTATCTGTGAAACAGTTTTGGACATTCCTCATGTCTATCTCTGATGTAGACCCGTTGACAGAGATTAATTACTATGTTTAGTTTGGGGGTTGATTAGTTCAGTTGGTTGCAATGGCTGGTTTGCAGTGCAGTGTGATGCTAACAGTCTGGGCTTAATTCCTGCATCAGCTGAGGCTATTATGAAGGACTGTTCTTCTCACTCTCTCTCCTTAACTGAGGCACGTTAACGCTCAGATTAAACCACTACAAGTCATCTCTGTTTAATGAGAGAGTAGGACTACAGCAGCTTCGCCTTTTACCACGTTTAGTCATTAAATGCATTTTCACTGTACCATGTACTTCTAGAATAGCAGGAAACAAAATCTATTTGGTCTAATTTCGTCATATAGGAATTACTAAATTCCAGTTGTTTTCATGCCATATGTAAGTGAAATGTATAAACTGCTCTGAAATCAATGGTGATGCTAATACCAGCTACTATTTGACTCTTCCAGGAGCAAAGACTGCCAGTTTCGTAAATTTTCAAGTAATATTGGAGAAGACCCAGCACTTCGAGTGTGTAACAACTTCTGGAATAGAGAGGTATGATAACAGAGCAGTCACAAATAGGGTGTGACATTAAACTCAACACTGACAAATTGTGAACTCAAAGTAAGTTTGTAAGTTTGCATATCTGAGGAGGGTGCTGTAAAATTACTGTGAAACAGATGGAATACAATGTGTTGACAGGTGAAGTTATCACAAAAGTTGACACTGCAGTGCAGTACAGGGCGAATGCCATTCTGTTGGAGATGTTGAGTGAGACATTAAACTCAGGCGCAGTCGCCTCCTCTGGCAAATGTAAAAGGCATGTTGGCAAATATTTTGCAGAGAAACGGGGAATTTTTCAAGTATTCCACAGCAGAACTGGAAGTTTTTAGGTCTCCAAGCCAATATTTAACAAAAACAGATTTATCCGTCCATTACCTCCTTGATGATAATGGGAACTTGCTGTGCTCAGAAAATCTATTCATTTCCTGCATTACGACAGTGACTACACTTTAAAAAGTATTTCATTGGTTGTAAAGCACTTTGGGGGTAATGTAGTCAGACTAGGTAAGAACAACAAATTGGCTTCCCTAAATGAACTAATTCAACTGGTTTCACAGTCTAGGCCTGAAACGTCAGCTTTCCTGCTCCTCTGATGCTGCTTGACCTGTTGTGTTCATCCAGCTCTACACCTTGTTATCACAGCTACTCTTACTGGCTGAGACCTGCTTTCAACTCTGGATTTTTATTAATTAAATTTATTAACTGGATCTACATTCCAGCAGTTGTCAAAGTGGAATTTGAACACATGTTTGGGGACTAAATGACTGACTGAATCATTTGACACCCGGGTCCACTTTGTTGTCAAAGAGGTTTATTGTTTTAGGCCAGTGGGGAGAAAGCTTCTGGCAGTCCAGAGACTTGTCCATCAATTATAAGGAAACATACACTTTCTATACTTTGCTTTTAGCCTGCCGTTGGCTTTTACAAAAATTAATGTATTACCAATTGATGACATACACATCCAATCAGGTTAATCATGTGATTGCACGATCAATCTATGGACAGCTTTAGGTCACCCTGAGATCTCATGTTGTTTAAAGGGCTCCCTTACCAATTATCCTAGGGCTTTAACAAAACACCTCATTCAACCACAGTCCAGACGGCACACGTTTTCTGATGAGAAGGTATCTCTCAATCTGCCTTTGATGGAACTTTCACAAGAATACAGTTATATCCTATAATGGCTGTGTATTTAAAACTCCATTTTGATGTTTGATAGGTGGCTATACTTTGATATATTACTTTATACAGTAATGGCTATACATGATTATGCTTTGCTATGTCATACTACATGTTACTATGGGTAGCTCCACTGTGGTTCTATACAAAGCTTTCTACATTCTGTTTCTGTGTAACAAAGCCCATTGTATACTTTCACAAGACCCTTTGTATTATCTAGTGACCTTGCATATATTCCTTCTCTGAAGTCATCTACTTACTCTAGTTTATAATTTGTCTTGAAACTGCAGATTATACAAGCTGCTGTTTCACCTAAAATACTTCCCCAGCCGTTTTATATCAACTGAGAACTACTTTCAGCCATTTTATGTTGTTTTGGCCATGGGTAGCCCTAACATGATGTCTCCAAATTATTTGTATGGGCCACTGGATAAATAGTCCAGTGACATTTTCACGACCCATAAAATATAATTTTGTTAAGTAATTACATTATTTTAAATTTTTGGGGGGATAACCTATGGTATTACTCCTCGTTACAGACATTTGGAAGGATGGGCTTTGACACTTTGAAATCCAGTCATTTTCTTGTGAGGATAAAGTCATTTCTGATCATGACCTCAGAGCTCATTTTTCATTCTTACCCACTGCACAATTTTAACATGTTGCCTATAACCTCGACGAGATCTTAATGGTCTAAGCAAGCAATTATTGGGTGTCTACAGTAGCACAGTAGTTATGTCACTGAATGTGTGAACCAGAGAACTGCACTAATGATATTGGGCCATGAGCTCATATCCCAACGTGGCAGATATAAAATTTAAAATCATTTCATTATATCTGACATAGAAACCAATACCAGCAACAGTGGTCACAACAATTCTATATCAATCATCTGACTGTCTGATGCTTTTTGGGAAGGGAAACTTGCTTCCCTTATTACCCAGTTTGGTGGACATGTGACTTCAGACCCAAAGCAATGATATTGAGTGTAAACAATACTGTCAACTGGGTGAATAATCTCTGTTGTCACCAGCAATCCTAATGGTAATTGGGCATTGGCTTTATGGAATGTTTACCAGTAATGCCCACATCTTGCAAATAATTAATGAACAAAATAATTAATGAACAAATACTACCCTTTCATTCCGTGTAATGTTAGGGAGGGTCGGATTAAAGCAGACAAAAAACTTTCATTGTCTGTTTCTACTAGCATGCAAAGCAAAATATAATGCATACATATTTTAACAACTGTTAATCTACTTTAAGGATATTTATTTGTGGTGTTTGATTTTTGTTTGATGTATTTCTTATTCATTCATTTGTAAGTGTCATTGTTTGCCTGTTGCTAGAATCGACATTTCAAAGAACCACAGAAGTTCGATGAGTTGATTCTGGGGATGGCTTCGCAAATAGCAGAACGAGAAGACAACATTGTGGTGTCAGATCTAAGAGGTAAAAATACAGTCTTTGAGAAAGCGTTTTAAAAAAACTGACTGTAGTTAAATTTTAGAAACTGCCATAACTAGAATTGGCTAAATTAATCTGGATCCATTAAGAGTTCAAAACAAGTGGAAGATGTACACTAGAATCTCTTGAGTCATGCAACCTGGTCCTGCATTTTTTTTGCATTAGTAAATGGAATGTGTATTGATTGCAACAGCACCTGGATACTGGGCTAATAGATGTTACATTCAGGAGCTGTGCTTGCCTTCCTGGGACAAAGTACATTAAAGAGATTCACCAGGAAGCCCTATAACGCTTTCAAATGAAGCATCTTAAATCATTCTACATTGAATTGAAAAGGTTCAATATTAGTTTAAAATGCATCTCAAGCAAATGAAAATATTATGATTTCACCATTCCCTTATACCACTAGCCTATATTCATCAAGTAGTAGTCAGTGAGCATGATGATTGAAACTGTTGTTTGCTCAAATCAGTCGCAATAAATTCTTAAAGCAATAGGGCATAATATTGATGCAATAAGCAGTGAATTTTTCAGTATTTATCTAATATATCTGATTATTTACCCACATGTAATATCAATGGAACATAACTTAAGTTCATTCCAACACGTTCCTTCCCTTTTATGCTTTAACTTTGTGTTTGGGAAGTTGAACTTTCCATGTTAACTTAATTTGCATATTGACCAACATGCACTGAACATAGTACAGTGCAACACAGGTACAGGCCCTTTGGCCCACCATGTCTGCGCCAACCATAATTCCATTCAAAACTAATCCCGTTTGCCTTCATATGCTCCATATGCCTCTATTCCCTGCTGGTTCATGTGCGTATCTAAGTGCCTCTTAACCGTTGCTATTGTATCTGCTTCTATGAACTTCCCTGGCCCTGGAGGGTGGCTAATGTGGTGCCACTATTTAAGAAGGGTGGTAAGAAAAAGCCAAGAAACTATACAATGGTGAGCCTGACATCGGTGGTGGGCACGTTGTTGGAGGGGATCCTGAGGGACAGGATTTACATGTATTTGGAAATCCAAGGACTTATTTCGGATGGCCAGCATGGCTTTGTGCATGGGAAATCGTGTCTCACAAACTTGATTGAGTTTTTTGAAGAAGTAACAAAGAGGATCAATGAAGGCAGAGCAGTGGACGTGATCTATATGGACTTCAGTAAGGTGCGTGACATGGTTCCACATGGTAGATTAGTTAGCAAGGTTAGATCACATGGAATATGGACAGCTAGGCATTTGGATACAGAACTGGCTTGAAGGTAGGAGACAGAGGATGGAGGTGGTGGGTTGTTTTTCAGACTGGAGGCCTGTGACCAGCGGTGTGTCAGAAGGATCAATGCTGGGTCCATTGCTTTTCGTCGTTTATATAAATGATTTGGATGTGAACATAGGAGAAGTGGCTGTTAGGTTTGCAGCTGACACAAAAATTGGTGGGGCAGCAAAGAAGGTTACCTCACGGTTCAATAGGACCTTGATCAGATGGGCCAATGGGCCGAGAAATTGCAGATGAAGTTTAATTTATATAAATGTGAGGTGCTGAATTTTGGAAAGGCAAATCAGGGCAGGACTTAGACACTTAATGGTAAGGTCCTGGGTGGTGTTGCTGAATGAAGAGACCTTGGAGTGCAGGTCCATAGTTCCTTGAAAGTGGAGTTAAAGGTAGACAGAATAGTGAAGAAGATATTTGGTACGCTTGCCTTTATTGGTCAGTGCATTGAGTACAGGAGTTGGAAGGTCATGTTGTGGCTGTACAGGACATTGGTTAGATCACTTTTGGAATACTGCATTCAGTTGTGGTCTCCCTGCTACAGGCAGGATGTTGTGAAACTTGAAAGGGTTGAGAAAAGATTTACAAGGATGTTGCCAGGGTTGGAGGGTGTGAGCTATAGGGAGAGGTTGAAGAGGCTGGGGCTATTTTCCCTGGATCTTGGAGGCTGAGGGTTGGCTTTATAGAGGATTATAAAATCATCAGGGCCATGGAGAAGGTGAATAGCTCAGATTTTCTCCCCAGGGTGAGGGACTCCAAAATTAGAGAGCATAGGTTTAAGGTGAGAGAGGAAAGATTTAAAGGGACCTAAGAGGCATCTTTTTCATGCAGAGAGTGATGAAATGAGCAGTCAGAGGAAGTGGTGGAGGCTGGTACAATTACAACATTTAAAAGACATCTGGATGCATTCATGAATAGGAAGGGTTTAGAGGAATATGGGACAAATGCTGGGAAATGGGACTAGATTCATTTAAGATATCTGGTTTGCATTGGCAATTTGGACCGAAGAGTCTGTTTCCATGCTGTACATCTCTATGACTCCATGACTTATTGCATTCCAGACACCTACCAGCCTCTGTGTAAAAAAAAATCTTGCCTTGCACATTCCCTTGAGCTTTTCACCTTTCACTTTAAACCTTTAAGCTTTCTCCCTCTCACCTTAAACCTATGGCCCCTAGCTTTTGACATTTCCATCGTAGCCACCCTGACTATTCACCCTGTCCATGTCTCTCATATACTTCTATATACTTCTATTAGGTTGCCACTCAGCCTCTGATGCTCCAGCAAAAACAATCCAAATTTGTCCAACCTCTCCTTATAACCAATATACTCCAATCCCAGGCAACATCTTGGTAAACCTCTTTTGGACCCTCTCCAAAGACTTCAGATCCTTCCTATAGTGTGGCAACAGGAACTGCATACAATACTCCTAATGTGGTTTAACTAAAGTCTTATAAGCTGCAGCATTTTGACAACTTTTATACTCAAGCACCCAACCAATAAAGGCAAGGATGCCTACATCGCCTTTACAGCCTTATCCAATTGTGTTGCCACTTTCAGTGATCTATGGACTTGCACCCCGAGATCAATCTGTATATCTATGTTCCTGAGGTCCTGCCATTTACTGTATATTTTGCTCTTGCATTTGATCTCCCAAAATGCATCACCTCACACTTGTCTGGATTAAACTCCACCTGCCATTTCTCCACCCAACTTTCCCACTGATCTATATCCTGCTGTATCCTTCGACAAACTTCTTCACTACCCACAACTCCACCAATTTCATGTTGTCTGCTAACTTACTAATCACACAACCTACATTTTCATCCAAATCATGTTTACATATTACAAATAACAGGCATCCCAGCATTGATCCTTGCGGAACACCACACGTCAGAGACATCTGGTCAGAAAAGCATTCCTCCACAACTACCCTCTGTCTTCTGTGATGAAGCTAGTTTTGCATCCAACTTACCAACTCACTGTGGATCCCATGTTACTTATCTTTCCAGAACACCTTACCATGAGGGAACTTTTCAAATGCCTTAGTCAAATCCATATAGACAATATCCACTGCCATATCCTCATCAACCATCTTTGTCACTTCCTAAAATAACTCCATTAAATTTGTGATGCAAGACCTGCCATAAAGCCATGCTGACTATCCCTAATAAGTCCATTATCTTCCAAATGTGAATAAATCCTGTCCCTAAGAATTTTCTCCGATAATTTCTTTGCCACTGATACAAGGCTAATCGGCCTATAATTTGCTGAATTATCCCTGTTGCCCTCCATTAATAAAGGAATAACATTAGCTATTTTCATGTCTTCTGTGACCTCACCTGGGGCTAAAGAGGCTGTAAAAATCTTTGCCAAGGCCCCAGGCATCTCCTTCCTTGCCTCACTCAGTCTCTTTGGATAGATCCCTGCAGGCCTTGAGGACCTAATGTTCTTCAAGCCCACCCAAAGCCACCGCCTTTTTAATACTGATATGCTCAAGAATATCAACTACTCCTCCCTAACCTTACTGTCATCCATGCACTTCTCCTTGGTGAATAATGATGTGAAGTACTCATTAAGGACCTCACCCACTTCCTCTGGCTCCATGAATAAATTCCCTGCTTTGTCCTTGAGTGGATCTATGCTTTCCTTAGCCACTTTCTTGCTCCCAGTATACATCTAATGGAGTCTAATATTTATCCTTCCCATTTTTTGATACTGTAGGATACTCGGAAAAGAACAACATTAATTCCTGCTGTTATACAACTGTCAGTTCGCTGGTTTAAATAGAATACCATTTCCTTGACTATAGTCTTTACATTTTGCAGACTTCATGTATGGGCCACTGAGGTTCACAAGATCAGACTTGGTGGCTCTTGACATCCAACGGGGGAGAGACAGTGGCCTTCCAAGTTACAATCAAGCACGAAAAATGTTTGATCTCCAACCAGTAACTAACTGGTCAAGTATCAACCCTCAACTCCACAATGAAAATCCAGAGGTTAGACAACTGCTAGTTGCTCCTTTGAAAAGATTAACGGAAAAAAATTGTCAAAAGTTAAGCAGTGAGAAAACAAGAATCTTGTGTCTATCTCTCAACCTACTAATTGTCAACAATATTCTGCCATTAAAAGATCAATTTGAAAAGCATGGGCCAAATCAATCATCCCATGACCTCAAAAGTATGAATGTTTTATTTCTCATTGCTATCCCCCCGCATCTTAGAATGTTTCATCATAGATGGCCAATCAAACAATCCTGCTTGTGCCAGCACTTTGAAAGAGCTGACAAATTAGTTGTATCCCCTTTCTCTTTCATCCTAGCTCTACATTTATTTTGTTTCTTTTCAAGTATGTATCCACTTGCCTTATGGTATTTAAACTGCCTCCTCTGCCCCTTCAGGCAGCATATTTCTAATCATCACCACTCCATATTATGAAATACTTCTATCTCCTGTCTGGTTATTTAACCAATTTTGTGTCTTCTTATTTCCAACACACCAAACTGTGGAAATATTTTTTTCCCAATTTACCCTATCAAAACTGCTCATCATTTTGAACACTTCTATCAGAGTGATTGCTAAACTTCTTTGCTTTTAATGAGAAGACTCTCTGTTTCCTTATTCTGTACCTAGCTGAATTTTTATATCACTGGTATCTTCTGGCAAATCTGTAATACATTCACTAAAGTCTTGCTACCCTCCTGTAGTTTAGAACCTAAAATGGGCTCCATTCTAAGGCCAAAACAGCAATTTACAAAGATTTTGTACAGCTTCCCTGTTCCTATACTTCACAAACTTGTAAAACTGAAGTTTGGTACATCTAACAGAGACTTCCTGATTTAGATCAAATCACCACAGTCCCAGAGGGCTGTGCTCTTAGAGACAGATGACAGGTGGTGAGTTTAACCTGAAGATCACCATGCCTCAGGTGAGGAGTGAGATTGAAAGCATTGGACCTTCATGGTGACCTCATCCAGGAATTGAGCCTGCATTGTTGGTGTTAGTTTGCATAACAAACTAGCCATCCAGCCAACTGAGATAACTGATACTTGGCTTCTTGGTTTACCCCGCTTTTGGCTGGCTCCTATTTTCTGCACCTACAGTGATGTTGGGGTCGGTTTAGTTGAGTTGGCTGGATGGATGGTCTGCAAAGCAGAGCGACGCCGATAGCGTGGGTTCATTTCCAATCACCAACTGAGGTTACCATTGAAGGATTCTCCTTTTCTACCTCTCTCCCCTCACCAGATGTAAGGAAGCCATCAGGTTAGATCGCCACTAGTCATCTCTCTCTGAAGAGAAATCAGCCCGATGCCTTGGTAAGACTGTGGTGACTCACTCACTCACTCTGCACAATGAACAATGGATCTCTTCATCTGGATTCTTGAAATGGAAGTGGCTGACCACCAGCACCCAGGTCCCCAAAGGTGGAATCATTTAAGCCGAAGCATGAAGCAATGGCAGCAATTGTCCAACTTGCAGCCCAAATGTGGGAGCAGGTTAGTTCAGCGCTGACTGACTCAATGCCCTCAACATCAAGAAGGCTCTGCGGATCACAAGCCAATTGGTTTGTTAAATCTGACCCCAGCGAATGTCTCGGTGAATTGCAGACTTTGATAGTGGATTCCATCTCGCCAGAACCTGGCACCAATTGACCTTTGATCTGCTCTGCCTTTGGGTTCTAAAGATAGTTAGTTGAAGTTCAACCTCCCCATCAGCATCTTTGTTGCACCAAGATTAAAGCAGCTAGAGGTCCTATCCCCCAGCCCGTCAACAGGTTACCCGGGTTTCCCAGAGCCTGCTGGGAAGTCAAGTAATCATGAAGATGATGAATTGAGACCCTTTTTGGCTATTAATTTAGCATGCAAAAGCCTTAATTGCTAGTGAGTCAAGAAAGTCTTAAATGGAACATCTTGCCCAGCACTTAATTGGTGAGGTGGCAAGAAGGAAAGAGCATATCTCCAGGACCAACTCATACAGCATGGAACAGGCCCTTCAGACCAACTTGTCCATGCTGATCAAGGTTCCTAAACTAAAGAAGTCCCACATCCTGGCATTTGGCCCATATCCCTATAAACCCTTCCTATTCATGTATCTATCAAAATGTTGTAAATGTTGTAACTATACCTGCATCTACCACTTCCTCTTGCAGTTCATTCTGCATACGAATCATCTCTCTATGAAAAAGTTACCTGTCAGGTCCATTTTACATCTTTCTCCTCTCACTTTAAAATTATGCCCTCCAAGTTTGAACTCCCCCAACCTAGGGAATAGACCTTTGCTATTCACCTTGTCTATACCCCTCATGATTATATAAAGCCACTCCCACACTCCAATGATAAAGACCCAGCCTACTCAACCTCTCCTAAAACTCAGACCTTCCAGTCCTGGCAGCATCCTTGCAAATCTTTTCTGAATCCTCTCCAATTTAATAATATCCTCCTACAGCAGGCTGACCAGAACTGTACCCAGTACTCCAAAAGTGGCCTCCCCAACATCCTGTACAATGTCAACATGATGTCCCAACTCCTAGACTCAATGGTCTGAGCAATGAAGGCAAGCATGCTTAATGCCTTCTTAACCACACTGTCTGCCTGTAATTCAACCTTCAAAGAGCTATATACCTGAACCCCTATGTCTCTGTTCTATAACACTGCCCAGGGCTCTACCATTAACTGTATAAGTCCTGCTTTTGTTCGTTTTACCAAAATACAACATCTCTCATTTATCCAAATTAAAATCTGCCACTCCTCGTCCCAGTGGCCCAATTGATCAGGATTCTGTTGTAATCTTAGATAACCTTCCTTACTGTCCACTATATCATGAATTTTAGTGTCATCCGCAAACTTATTGAGCATATTTCCTAAATTCTTATCCAAATTGTTTATATAAATGACAATCAACAGTGGACCCAGCACCGAGCTATTTCTCCTTCTGATCCCACGTCTCATCATTTCCAAGGAGGGGATAAATTTGCCTTTTAAATGAGTAAATGAGATTCAGGAAAACTATTTCCATTAGTGTCAGCTATAGCTGAATGAAAGCAGTCTTAATTCTGAGTCAGAAACACCAGGGACACAAGTACAAGTTGACACTGAATTCAGTGCAGTGAGGGAGTACTGCAGTATCAGGAAGGCTGTGTTGTTCAGATCAGAATTAAACCAAGGCTTCACATACTTTCTCTGATGGACATAAAAAATCTCACGGGACATTAGGATTCTACATAGATAGCAATAATTTATTCTGTTCTCTGCAAGCATATTTCAAGAGAGGAAAAGATTTAAAAGGGATCTAAAAGGCAAATTTTTCACAGAGGGTGCTGCGTGTGTGGAATGAGCTGCCAGAGGAAGTGGTGGAGGCTGGTACAGTTACAACATTTAAAAGACATCTGGATGGGTATATGAAAGTTATAAGAGGGGGTTTAGAGGGATATGGGCCAAATGCTGGCAAATGGTGCTGGATTAATTTTGGATATCTGGTCAGCATGGACAAGTTAGGCTGAAGGGTCTGTTTCCGTACTGTACATCTCTATGAATCTGAATGGATTTTTCAGATCTTCTGAAGTACTTATTTCACACTGTTGCCTCACAGCCCCAAGGACCTATGTTCAATTCCACCAAGGGTGACTGTCTGCGTGGAGTTTGCACATTCTCCCCATGTCTGCGTGGGTTTCCTCCAGGTGCTCCGTTTTCTTCCCACAGTCCAACGATGTGCAGGCTAGGCGGATTGGCTGTGCTAAATTGCCCCTGTAGTGTCTAGGAATGTGCAGTCTAGGTCAATTAGCCATGGCAAAGCAGGGTTTGGGTGGAATGTTCTCCAGATGGTTTGTGCAAATTCGAATGGCCTCTTTCCCGCACAGTAGGGACTCTATTCTAATTGGTACATTGTCTCTCCCATAATCCAGCTCTTTGACAAGTTAGCAGCAATGTACAGTAATGACATTTCCAAACTGGAGTTGCTGGTCGGAGTCTTTCTGGAGAGTGATGGGGTCTCTAACAGACTCTTTCCCATGCTTATAAAAGAACAGTTTGAACGCATACGAGATGGTGATAGATTCTGGTTCGAAAACACCAAGAATGGGTGAGCAAAAGTTACTTGTTTTTTTTCCATTTGAAGATCAATCTGAGCGCTGTTAGGAAATGGTGAAAAACCTTCTGACAATCATTCTATGATTCTAAACCATTGTGTCACTTGAACTCACGGTTGCAGTCTGGGGCTAACTGTTGGTGGTCCTTCAGATGAAATGGGCAGCTTTATAATGAAATGGCGCAATCATTAGGGCATTCTTTTTGTTTCAATTCCTTTTCAAGTTAATGGAAAATCTGAGAAGGATGATAATTCTGCCATTTAACCTGGAGGTCACCAGCCCAATAATCTCATAGTGCACCTTGGATTATAGAAAAGAGAAGAGAGCTGTCAGTCTTTTTTTTTAAGCTGTAAACATTATTAAGTATTCAGTCCCTTAAGGAGTACAAAAGTCTTTCATCGCAAAATGTAGAAGTGTCATTTTGACAAATGCCTGTGATAGGTGTTGTCTTAATTCATTCCACAAAGGCTATTGCACATTTTCTTTGCAGCTTTTAATTATATTTATTTCCTCTAATACCTCTTATTCTGCCTTGGAAGATTAGAATTTCGAAAATAGACAATAGCACTTTCTAAACCTTTGACCTCTACCACCTTGAAGGACATGGGGATCAGATACATGGGAACACCACCACTTGCAAGTTCCTCTCCAAGGCGCACACCATTCTGATTTGGAAATATATTGTTTTAGCTGCACTGTTACCGGGTCAAAATCCCAGAGCTCACTCCCTAAGAGCACTGTGGGTGTGCCTACACAGAATAGATTGCAGCAGTTTGAGACGATGTCTCACCACCACCTTCTCAAAGGCAATTGGGGATGAGCTGGTCTAGACATTGACGTACATACCCTACCAAAGAATGTTTCTTTTAGAATGGAGAGCTAGTACGGGAACCCGTGTTTGAGCTAGGAAGCTTTTGAGGTAACTGTAATTTTTATCTACGTACACAGCTTGAACATTTCCACAGATTCATGTGAGGTATAATTTTGGAAATGTCTTACTATCTTGTACTTCTATACAAATCTCTAGAACATATGGAGAAGAGGGCCTCAAACTGGGTTTTGGAAAGGCATAAGAGGTGTCAGGGTCAGTTTAAAAGGAATGCTGTTTGATAAGCCCCATAACATTATCACAAATTGTGTCTTCTAGAATGTTTACGGCTAGTGAAATTCAGGACATTAAGAACATCAAATATGCCAATGTGTTGCTAGCGACAACAGTTGCAGTGCCTCAGGATATTCAGAGTGATGTTTTCTTCTGGAAAGATGGTAAGCAACATAATGCCATGGCAGCCTGGGTCTTCAACAATAAGCTAACAGGGAGCAAGATGTTCATTTGTATATCCACTATTAATCTTGTATGGCAAAATGGACCATGCAGTCTTGGAAGTAGAAAGAAAGGCAAATCTGAGATTTATTGCAAGGTTTAGGTTAATCCTAGAAATGGTCACACCAAATCCTTGTTGTACACATGAGGTTGGAACATGGACTTCCCACCGATAACACAAAACGTAAATTCTCCTACGTAGCGTGTGATCAGACCAGATGAATCAATGAGAAAAAGATGGTGTCTTGGTCTGACCTCGCAAGCCCACAGATCTAGGGAGGTGATTCAGCGGATAAACAGGACTGAGCATATCTTTGCACTTTTTATTTAATGATCAACCACATCATGACCAGTTTTTAAAGGAATGAGAACTGCAGATATTCTTTCAAACCATCCATGCCCTAAATTCTAAGATACATCAAAATAGTGGTGCGATGAAAATCAGGCATGTGCAGGACACCAAATTTGGAGGGACGCAGGATTCACATACTGAGATGTTTGACGACCAACTTATTATATCATCATCTAAATGTTCTTTTGATGTTCTTAAAGTATAACATTTACAGAAGGGAATCTTGTACTTGGTGGCATGAGTGTTCTAAAAGCAGGATAAACTATTTTGCCTGGGAGTGTTGCAGAGGCCATTTAATTGAGGCATTCAAAGGGAATTAGATAGTTATTTGAAGAGGAAGAATGTGTAGGATTATGGGAAGAAGGCAGGAAAATGTCATTAGGCAAGATGTGTTGCCGTAGGGATCAGTGTTGGGTCCGCTGCTTTTTGTCATTTATATAAATGATTTGGATGTGAATATAGGGAATAAATTAGTCAGTTTGCACATAACACCAAAATTGGTAATGTAGTGAACAGTGAAGAAGGTTACCTCAGAGTACAAGGGACCTTGTTCAGATGGGCCGATGGGCCAAGGAGTGGCAGATGGAATTTAGTTTAGATAAATGTGAGAGCCAATCAGGGCAGGACTTATACACTTAATGGTAAAGTCCTGGGGAGTGTTGCTGAACAAAGAGACCTTTGGGTGAAGGATCAAAATCCCTTGAAAGCAGAGTCACAGGTAGACAGGATAGTGAAGAAGGCGTTTGGTACGCTTGTCTTTATTGGTCAGTGCATTGAGTATTGGAGTTGAGAGGTCATGTTGTGGCTGTACAGGACATTGGTTAGGCCACTTTTGGAATACTGTGTTCAATTCTGGTCTAGCTACTATAGGAAAGATGTTGTGAAACTTGAAAAGGTTCAGAAAAGATTTATAAAGATGTTGCCAGGATTGGATGGTCTGAGCTATAGGGAGAGTCTAAACAGGCTGGGGCTATTTTCCCTGGAGCATCGGAAGCTGAGGGGTGACCTTATAGAACTTTATAAAATCATAAGGGGCATGGATGGGGTAAATAGTCAATGTCTTTTTCCCAGAGTAGGGAGTCCAAAATTAGAGGGCATTGGTTTAAGGTGAGGGGGGGAAAGATTTAAAAGGGTTGTAAGGGGCAACTTTTTCACACAGAGGGTGGTGTGTGTATGGAATGAGCTGCCAGGGGAGGTGCTGGAGGCTGGTACAATTACAACATTAAAAAGGCACCTGGATAGGTGCATGAATAGGAAGGGTTTAGAGGGATATAGGCCAAGTGCTGGCAAATGGAACTAGATTAATTTAGAATATCTGATCAGCATGGGCGAGTTGGACCAAAAGGTCTGTTTCCATGCTGTACATTTCTATGACTCTATGTTAGGTTGGAGAGCTGAAACAGAAACAACAGGCCGAATGCATTGTAAGCTTTCTGTGATTCTGAATGTTTAAGAAATGTTTCATCACAATCTCTTTACTGATTTTTACTTTGCTTTCTTGCAGGTGACCCATGTGCTCAACCAAAGCAGTTGACAGAGAGTGACATGGAGCCATGTGTAAAAGTCAGCACAATGTATTATTTTGATGGCAGTGGAGCAGGCTTTGGGATACTTATTGTGGCACTCTGCTGTTTCCCTTTGGGTTTGTATATGATATCATTATGTATAAAAGAAAGAAATTTGTAATACCACTTATATCCATTGTAGGCAGTAAGCATCCAAAACCAGACAACAGAAATTTTCTCCAAAAATGTACTGGGAGTTCTGCAGCTATTGTCATTGGAACTCGCACAAACTATGTTCCTGAGCCACCTACTCCATCCCTCTCCTTAGCAACTATCTGAAACAAAGCCGGACTATTCACAATCATGGAATTGCATTTGACCCTGATCCAAGATTCCACACCATCATTAAGATTGCATTCTTCCATATCTCTACCATGGTCAAACTCTGACTTGGATTAGCTTGTCTTCTGCTGAAGCCCTCACCCGAGACTTGACTACTCAAACACACCATTAGCAGATTTTCATTCTTTAGCTCTCCATAAACTTGAAATCATCCAAACTTCGGCTGGCTACGTCCCCAGTTGTACCAAGTCCCATTCCTCCTTACCCCCGTGCTCGCTGACCCACATTAGCTCCAGGGTCAAGCATTTGCAGCATTGCATTCAAATTCTTCTGCAGCTTGCTCCTCCTTACCCTGCCATCTCCCTTAGCTGTAAAAATTTCCTAGCTATCTCTGCACTTCTAATTCTGTACCATAGCGAATCACGGATCTTAATCACTAACCTGTTGCTGATTGTGGTTTCAGCTCCTGAAACCCAGAACTCTGTAATTTTTCCCCGAAACCTTTCAGCCTATTTTCCTCCCTTTCCTCCTGTAAGGCAATACTCAAAACCTGTTTTAACTGAGCTTTTGGTTACCTGCTATAATATATCCTTTTTGTGACTTGGTGTCATATTTTCTGTAATGTTTGCACCTGTAATGGTCCTTAGGATGTTTTATTTTTAAGGGTGGTATATAAGCACAAGTTATTGTTGATTGAAGCAATATCAGAACAGAAATTTGAGCTCCAATTTAAACAGTGTCCTTCACTTTCTTTGATTCAACAAATACTTTTAACGATTTTACTAACATCAACAAACATTCCTCCTTACATGCAGTTGACTAGCATATAACTTCAGAAATCACGTGGCACCAGTTTATAATCCAACAGGTTTATTTAAAATCACAAGCTTTCGAAGTGCTGGTCGTTCACCTGACGAAGGAGCAGCGCTGTGAAAGCTTGTGATTTTAAATAAACCTGTTGGATTATAACCTGGTGTCGTGTACCTTCTGACTTTGTCCACCCCAGTCCAGCTCCAGCACCTCCACATCATGGCATATAACTTGAAATTTGTTGATTCCAGTTGATATTGATTCTATTATTTTCCAGAACACACAATGCTATCTGTGTTATGAAACCAAGTTATACATAGATCCTATAGATGAGTAAATCATCCTTGACATAATATTGCTTCTATTATTAACAAAATCTAGTTTTCTTATCAAGATGTGAGATGTCAATACTGGAGAATGGAATACTTTCCATTTCAGTCACCCAGTGTTAAGCATCAAATGGTTCCAGATCAGCCACAGCACAGCTCGATTTCTTTCGAAAATACCAAGAGAAAGTGCTGGAGAAACCCAGCAGGTCTGGCAGCATCTGTGGAGAGAGAAACAGTTAACATTTCAAGTCCAATGGCTTCTTTTTCTAGAGTAACAATGATGAGCCATATTGGTCTCGATGTTGATTCTGTTTCTCCCTCAGATCTCCAGCATCCTCAGTATTTTACTTTTATTGGAATTAGTTATTCTGTCCCAACAATGTGTCCCAATGTGTTCCAATCTCGGAAGAGCCCTTCTTGTACGAGACTGGCATGTTCCGCTTCCCAAGCAAATTCGTTTTAGTCCTGTCAGATGACACTATCAATGGCACCAGTTTGGTGACTACATGTCATTTGTGGGAATTAAAGTAAGATTAGGAAAATGCCAAAATTACAGCCGGCAGATGCAGGCGACATCTGATAGGCGACTATCAACGCTTTATTCTGCCTAGATTTAACTACGATCTTCTAGAGATGGAAGTCCAGAATCTAACATATTGGGTAAATCTTGTATCTATATCTTGGCTCATTGCAGACCCAGCAGTACCTTGAATAGTTCTGGATTCTTAGAACATCACAATAAATTTGTATTTTATCCTCGAGAATTCTGAAACCTATCTCTGTTCATATTTATTTGGAACTTCCCTTTTTTGACATTTGTTTCCAGCAGACAATCCTCTAATTCACATGTCGGAAGTGCACAGTACTGTCAGGCCGGTATTTATTGCTCATTCCTGGATGTCCTCAAGAAGGTGGTAGTGAGTTGCTTTCTGGAAATGTTGCTGTCTGTGCACTATAGTCACATCCCCAGTGCCATTAAGGAGGAAATTCCAGAATTTTGACCCAGGAATTAAATTTAATGACATTTTATAAAAATGGATATTACAGTTATCTCACCTGTTCTATAATCTACACAATCCCTTGATTTGCAAGCTAATACCAAACGATCTATCCAGATGTAAGACTGTCCAAACCAGATCCTGTTTGATTTGGAAAGTACTTTGCAGTTCACTATTCTACTCCAGAAAACTAGGCAGTGAATGATAGAGCTGGAGCCAGTGTTTACACATGTTATCATCTTTTATATTCTGCAATACATAATACACAGATGTGCCTCCAAACCCAACCAGTACATTTTCAGTAATCTGCTGTATATAGAAGCACAAGTGATTCTCCAATTAAAGTCCTCCATCTGAACACATTCAAATATTTATTTACTGTTCAAATGGCATTGATATAATTCAATTTAAATTTTTTCTCCATTTTATGATTAACAGCGGCATTGCTATTGGCTTTCATGGTAGCTGGCATTCGAAAGAAAGAAAAGAGAAAACTACAGAAAAAAAAGGTTTCCTTGAAGAAGTCATCTAAATCAGCAGTGAATATGAGAGGTATTAGTTACAAAAATTGTGGTGTAAAATGTTTTAACTGAGAGAGTTGGAACAAAGATCACTCATTTCATCTTCTTGTTAATATTTACTGATGAACAATTTCACTCCATTTAGTGGAAATATTTTCACTAATATTGCAACCATTTTGAGATACCATTTCTATGGCTTCTTCCCCACAAAATACATCATTAATTGCTTTTCAATATAAATTTAGCAATAGGAATAAAAAGTAAAGATTTTTTTTTCACTTTGTGAAAGGCGCAAAACTCAGATGCTGAAGAAAGATTTGTGCCTGAGATAGTAGGAACTGCAGATGCTGGAGAATCTGAGATAACTAGGTGTAGAGCTGGATGAACACAGCAGGCCAAGCAGCATCAGAGGAGCAGGAAAGCTGACGTTTCGGGCCTAGACCCTTCTTCAGA